TTCCTACCTGATTGTTCAAATGAATTTATAGGTAAAATTATAAAACGGGATAGACGATGCAAGTTCGGTAGACGAGAAGCACTAGTCATTTTGTATTCCAATTTGATCGGTTTTGTATATGAGAAGATGAGTCAATTAGCCCCAGCTTCCTGATTGCTTCACTCCCAGTTTTCGTGTAATATTTCCGTCCGATGTAAGTCGTGAATGAAAAGCGGTCCTATAATTTTAATCAATGATTCATGTATGCTGCTTTCTCATGTCCTTAGGTTTAGGGTATGAGTTGATGATACGACTTTAAATAATTAGAATGAATAGCCACTTTTAAACCGGTTGATCGATATAATTATCTAACGGTTCAGTGAATGTTGAGATCCATTCACACAGGATTAAAATGCTTCAACTGAACCTTTTTGCACCTTCTATCCAGGGATGATAAACATGTTTTGATGACAACTGGTTTGTTTCTAATCAGTTAGATGGGATTGATTATTGAACAATTTCATCGATTTTTTCAAAACAATGTACAATTCTCCCGAAAACATATTTCTGATATTCGTATGAAATTTTAGTCTCGCAGAGTAAATAATACCATGCCTTTTCGGAAGTGACGAACCATTCATGAATGAGCAGAGAATAACCGTACCCAATGATCGCCATGTGGAAAAGAAGAGAAACAGTCATGAATATCCTCCATGCGGATATTTTACTTGATATTGTAGGATCGCTTATAATGTTGTATTGATATCAATGTTATTGCAAGTGTATTGCTATCCTTTTGTGAATTGCTAGCTAAAGTTGTTAATCCGTGTTTCCTACGGTAAACAACAGTATAATTGAAGTCAGGCCAGGTTAGTTGTTTCCGCGGTTGCTACACATACAAGAGTTGGTGGATTTTTAGCTGTTTGACCCATATCTGTGCCCCAATATTTTACAAAATAGAGCAAAATAAATTTCAAGATATTTATTGTATAAATGAAGCTAACAACTATGTACTTTCGCAAAAGCTCTCCCCTTCCTGAAAATCAAACATGATAATTTATGGCAAAACAAAACTGCAATACATAGAAGTCAGAGTACATGAAAGTTAAAACCATGTGTGTATGAAGATGATGTACACGTAGCTCTTGAATGTTCATTATGTAGTGAACGTTGAGTGTCTAAGAACAACTGAACATTAAATTGTCACACGCATCACGTCTCCGATATAACGCACAAGTGCAATTAGTGGTGCCACTTTATATATATATATTTCCTTCAGGAAGTTGCCAGTTTTTTTATGTTTTCCAGAGATCGGGAAGAGATCAGAGGGGATCAATAAAACCAGTAAAGCAGTACTCATGTAATTAAAAATCGACATAAAAAGAATACAAATTATTCTCAATCGGAGCGAAAATGTCTCTTGAATGATTAGTAAACATGACAAGTTATTTGACAGTTTGGCTCTAAGATAGTGTGCGGTTGTTGATGTTGCTATGGGTTTACGACTCACCGACAGAAAGTGGTATCGATTTATGATAGCACCGTATAGTTTTTCAGTCAACAGAGGAAACAAAATATCCTAGCATTCTGAGGTATTCAGCGAAAGGAAACGGGAAAAGACCCAAGTCATAACATCATTTAACTTAATACGACTTTCCACAGCCTCTTATAAGGGAAAATTCAGCTCCTGGAACAACAAGTTCGGAATATTGTAAGGTAGGAGGACTGAAATATGACTGGTTTCCAGATATCAGAAATTTTTCCATATGGTAAACAGCTATGAAAGATGCAAACTTGTGTAATGCAAAGGGTGTTTACCAAAATCTTCAGTTCCACGTGTGATAGATACTTCATACAGACCACAAGCATTCTTGATTTTAATTTTCTGCAGCTTCCGGAAGACCATGGAGAATTCGATAATTGGTGAACGGGTAACCTTTTCCAAGACAGATGGAGCTTTATACGTGCATACTGGGCTGAACTAAAACTCAAGTGTTTAAACACCGATGGCTACATTTTTGTAGTCATTGGCCTGGCCACACATGCGTTTCTTAGCTCGCCCGCGGGTGTAACAATCGCCGTGATTAGGAATGATGTCTATGTACACCTATTTTCGGAATATGCTTTCGAATTTGAGCAGAATGATAGGTTGTTTGGCTTGGGTACTCTGTCCCAAATGTGAGGATTGTTTTCTTCCACCTTTGCACATATTTAAGTGACAGTGATGAACATCTATCCATATAGATGAAGATGATCCCAAATGGGAAACATTAAATCAAGCAGACTTTATTATAACCGGTATCGGTTGTATATCAATTCCGGTGATAAAATGTAACAAATATTGAAAACAAAGTCTACTGTGGAAAGGTAAAGTATATTTATTATAATCATAACAAATTTGAGCTTGTTAGTCGTGGAGGAAGACAAAAATTGAGCAAGTGTGTTCATATTAGATAGGGATACAATTAGGGGTCAGGTTGATGCTTCTCAGTACGGTATTACAGCACTTTTACTTTCGGTATGGTGAAACATCGGGATTACACCAGAAAACCCGAATAAACATAAAACTCCAAGATGGAATCTAATTATCTACAATGTGTTCCACAGGCCGCGTACTGTGTTGCGTTACTTTCGTTCACCCCGGTTAGAACTCCACCGAAAAGCATCAAGTTTTGATATTTCATGATCTGTTTGCTGCGTTCCTTCATTTCTCATTCAGTAAACACAAATTGCAACACGTGTTCGTGATCCATTCAGTGAAATGATGTTTGCGACAACCCGTGCTTTGTATGAAAGTGCAGTATGCCTAGGACAAACGATTTTTTGTTCTCTATGCGCACCTGCTCGGTTTGTACAGTCAACTTGTTATCGGTTTGTTTTTCTTGCTGCCCCTGGTGAAGCACCCTGTCCATTCGGGCTGTCATTTTCGGACAGACAGAACGTGACACTGGGCTGACGGACTGACCGACTAAGGACTGACTAACAGAACGACAGATAACTCAGTGAAATGAACCATACCAAGAGTGTGTTTTTCGATTGAAAGTGGATGAAAAAAGAGTGTGAGAGAGATAGAGGATACAGTGATGTGATAAACTGTGTGCGAGCGTGAAATGAGCAGATCATGTTTTACCAGACGGCAAACAATCAACAATAGCATGATTCTCTGGTAAATGTAATGTAGCCCGGTGAATGAACTCGAACTCATCCGAAATTTGCCAATCAACAATAAGTGGACTTTTGAATATAATTTGACGAAAATATCCCGGAGTACAGGCTTGATTGAGTTACTTAATCAACTTCATTCTGTTCGAAATTAGCGGTAAATATGAAGTCCTTTGCAAATTTAAAACAAGGAAGTCTGAATTTGAAGATGCAATGGGAAAATTCAGGATAATACCTTTTTTAAAAGTATATAAAAGTCTATTCACTAATTGGGACTGTTGTTGAAGTTGCATTACTTTATCAATCTGGGATAGGATTCCAAACATATTTCACCTCAGGACTTTTACTGTTTTGATTGTCACAAAAGGGCAATCAAGAGCCTGTGCTATTTTTAGTTTGCAGCTACAAGAAATGGATTGTGTCTTTCTTGGCTCAGTTTTCGAGCCAATTTTCTCTCCGAACTTCAAACTTGATAGTTGAAAATCTCGTAAAGCTTCCAACGTGTCGCTCACGAATCACAGCGTATTTCTCGTTATGTATGTAATGGCATTCAACATAACCTATTGGAATAAAAACCTAGCATCCTAACTTTATTGAATTTCTAATTGAAATTCGGTGAACAGAACGTAAGCTCTACTCTTCTCCTTATTAGTTAGCCCCGATGAAGGTATTTAATCTCTATATTAGCAACAAAACAAAATTAGTTTAACTTTATGGCCATTCTAGATTCCATTCGTTGTAAGCGAAACCTTTCTTCAACCATGTTACAACCGCATGAAAGTCATTTTTTGTTCATGTAACAATCGGTTCACCCTGGATACGCTTTTACGTCTGTACTTTTTTTCGATCTCATTCTCTCGGTACTTACCTTACTTTATTTTACGGCAACTGGATCTTGGGAGAGATTAGGCCGGCTTCATGGATATCAAGTGAACATCCATCAAATTTCTTGGGAGGTAGGCACCGGAAACGTACTTAGCGTCACCCGGCTTTGGGTCGAGGTGACATCTCTAGCCTTTGCACATTCAGGCGTTGACTGCAAGGTAGCAGGAAGGAAGTGCGTGGTTGCCGGAGGCCCTCTGAGCTCATACGCCATTGACAGTTTCTAGCTGGACAGGGATCCATGCATCCCTGATGAATACGGAGTCATTGACCTAACCGTTGAATAGTTAAAGCAACTTTTTCCGCCCAAAATTACCGGAGACACTGAGTCGCCGGGAGTTGAGCTCCTGGTTACCCTCAACCTGGTTTGGCCCGCCTGTAAAGCAGTTTACCGGGATGCGGCCGTTTTGTATTCAAACAGCTTCTTGGAGCCACGAGTGAGAGATGGGCGCCTGGTGGTGACCAAAGAAAGGAGGATGACCCAAAGGAGCTGACAACCCTATGGGTCAGAGTTAATACTCTTTCCGGGTACCCCATACGCCCCTCTCTGTGCTACTTGTTTGATCACAAATGGAATGTGTGCAGAGGTACATCAATTCCTGGTGTGTTTCGGATTGGTGCACGGCATTAAGCGGATACTGCACATCTTAATTTTACGTGGTACATTTCAGGTTGGACTTGTTCCATTTCGGTTTCCGGTGAGCTTGGTGAGACACAATAGCGCTATTCATACGTGCGGCCAAGCCTAATCTGAGCGTTGAAATGGAACTGTTATTAGTTGGAATGAACTGCAAGTTGTTGCGATTCCGTGGACTCTTTTACAGATTTGGTCATTCAATTTGAACCAACTTATTTGGTTTCGGTAAAGTTAACGTCGTTATTTTTCACTTTCTACTTTGTAGTCCACGTTAACCCCATTATTTTATGGTTTGATGGAATGTGTTTCGCAAACTGTTCTCAAATCAGCTTTATCTGAGATGCTCAATTCACCACCTCTTTTCTTATATCCATTAAAACATGTAGTATGCGGACTGATGAATAAAACGATTAGACCAGTTGGTCTGGTTGATGCCAGTTGGCCGGAATTGGAAAATTATTACCGCACACAGCGATTTTATACACACGCTAAACCGGAAGATCAAACATTTGACCGAAACGAGGAGCTCGGTGGTAACCTGGAATCGAACACTCTGCAACAATCTATGCAGGCCAGTGCCGCCATTCGGTGCTATAGACGTCAATTGCTGGTCAGTCTCAGTGCCCGGGTTCAGCTCCCTTTACTCACACTAATGAACATGGATGAATGTCCGGCCACACTGATCGAGTCGGCTATCGGAGCGAACCCGATGGTGGGCAAGACTAGTGTGGCCGAATATCCGTACCATCGACTCTCGAATCCGGCCACTCCACCATTGATCCACTCACTGGCACCCAGTCAGGATTTGATGGCGGAGCTGCTGAAGCATATCACGCTGCTTAACGAAGAACTGTGGAAAGGATTTGCTATTGTATATGAAAATGAACGAGGTTTGTTCTAGTTAATCCTTTTCGCTTTTTCTACATTTAAATCAATTTCCAAATATTACCCAAAGATGCATGAAGAAAAAAGGGTTTGTAACGCAGGCCATCAGTCTCTAATGGTTTTCAATTTATTGAGATAAATGGTTCTTTGGTCGCAAAGAAACTCCGTGATCATATTGTGTGTATGGTCTTCATTGCCTATGAAATTCAGTGGGTTAATGAGAATCACAAATCGTCTGGGTCCTTCGAAGTCAACTTTCTATTGTCCACATATATTGTGAATTTGACACATGAAGATAAATTACAAGTTTAGCAAATGTAGACATTCTTGATGGGGATCCACGAAAAAAAACTCATCCAAAGCGAGTACTTCTAGGAGGATACTATGCAGAAAAGTAATTGCTAAATCTGGTCTTCAAATAAAACCCAAACCTAGCAGACTGCTATGCCTTGATGTTAAATATCTAAAATTAACCGTAACAAATTGCGGACTAACCAATGGAGTATGATCTTTATGTCAATTACTGATCTTCGTTTTGGTTACAAACCCTAACTGAAGCATCGCTGACTTAATAAATTCATTCTCTAAATTCATCACTACATTCTCTCGCTTCACGTGACCTTTTTCATATTTCGTCAGTCCCGCCGCTCAATAAAGTGCAAAAATGGGACGTCGCATAGTGCCAACAAGTGCCGCACCAAGTGTTTCGACGGCATCGGAGTTATTCGGCCTACAGAATTAAAAGAAAGAAATGAAAACGTGGATATTTTGCACACATTGCCTAAAACACTTTCACCTTTCATGTGCCAAACTCTTGGTAAAACAGGCAAAACAGTTAGCCACTCGGCCAGAATGTATATGGTTCTGTAGAGAATGTGCGGAAATCCCGATTGTAGAATGTACCACACACAAGTAAAAGAAGCTATTGTCAGCAGCCGAAGAAAGGGCGAATTAAAAAGTCGCCACATTTGAGATAAAAATAGCAGAATTAAGTTCACGGATCACATCAGCTAACCCGATACGGAAACCCAGCAAACGACCGAAATGCCCGACACAAGTGGTCACTCCACGGCAGGGGACGCACACGGCTGAACTGCGCGCGACGACAAAAGCAACAATAGAAGCACCTGCTACCTCGGAACCCACACACACCCAGTTGCCTCCCTTATCTGCTTAACAGCTCTGCCTGCCAGCTCGCCACTGCCAAACAACTCTCCAACCCCCATAACGCCGGCCACTGTTGTAAAAGTTGCCCCTTCGTATACAGATGTCATTTCCACTCCACTTAGAAGAGCAGCTCCTGAAGCTGCACCGCAGCAGAAGCACCCGAAAAAACGGCAGGGATATAGTCCGCTGCATCGCCCTCACGGAGAGACTCGACTCCCTCGTTCACGATATCCAGGCACGGTGCGTGTAACATGTCACGGACAGTTGAGAGGTGCCCCCGCGATTCGCAGGAACCTATGCAGCAGAGGAAGCTCCCTCCGATATCTCAGTGCCTTATTGTTGTCAATCTTCCGGAGGCCGAGGCCACCACTGCCTGGGCTCACCTGGACCACGATCTGCTGCTGAGGTCGCACATGGTTATCTTGTTTGATGGCGACGATGTGGAACTAGCGGCATCGGTCAGAGTAAAAACGGCATTCAGGCTTGGAAAACCCTGCCAGGATAATTCTCCACGACCACTGAAAGTGGTTCTTCGAGAGAAAGCGAGACCAAAGCGATACTTCAGCCGACCCACAAACTGAAGGGAACTCCGGTGCGATTCCTCAGGGATCTTGATCCGGACCAGAGCAGTAAATTGAAAACTGCATTAGAAGAACTCAGAGAGCGCCGTGCAAAAAGGGAAATTGATTTGTATTTAAGGGATTTTCGTGTTCATCGGAAGCGCCCTCAGTTGCGTTGGCTGCCCTTAGTCGGGGGGAGGACCCAGGAAACTGTTTTACCATGGATGGCTGGATTAGCTTGAGGCGCGAATGACGCATTAACCAAGCTGTGCTAGCCTCAACCAATACCCGAGGGATGCTGGGGAAAAGTGATGAGCTGGATTGCTGGGTTGTATCCAACTATCCCGATCTTTTTGCAATCACTGAACCCTGGCTGGCACCGGATGTCCGGGACCCCGAAATATTACTCCACGGATACAGAGTGCTTCAAACAGATCGATCATCGTCACGTCGCGGTGGTGGAGTTTTTCCTTTTGTCCACTCGGGTCTCTCTGTTCGAGTGCTAGAGAATTACGCCCATCCGGAAGGATTTGGAGAAGCCCTGTGGTGCAGAATCAAGCTTTGTGCCGGAGGGTATACCACATTTGGAGTGATTCACCGCACACCAGCTGTGTACGTCCTAGAGCTGCTGGCCAGCATATAGAGGTACGCCTGCGATGGATATTGTCTTGTCTTGAGTGATTCCAACGCACCCCATGTTGATTGGGAAACTGACATCTGCTCTCAGCAGGCAGATTTGTTTTCTAGAGAACTTATTTTCACTGCCCGGGCCCTGTCGCTTGTTCAGCATGTTCATGTGCCCACGCAGATAGTTGGGGACCAAAGATCCATCCTTTACCTGATATTTTCGCCGAGGCAATCAGATACGACTAGGATTGACCTCCTTTCACCAATTGCATCTAGTGATCACTCCGTTCTGCGTATACACTGGAGGTGTGGCGTACCCCAAACGGCCAGACCATAGGACGGACGGAATGTATGGCGCTCATC